AGTCAGGTAGAGCATAAGCCACAAAACATGCTCAAATAGTTTCCTTTAAAAATGGGAGTTTCTGTATTGCTAATTCTACTCAAATTATTGCTCACTTACAAATCCACTGGCATAAGGGGATCAAAAGGTGAAGCCTAATCTACCCTGCTGACTTCAGTTTGAGCCTGCAGCGGGACTTTTTTCCAGTCAAAGGCAACCATTTGGTGTTCTGGTGCAACCAATTTATAAAAAAAAGCTAAGCCTTCAAGACAATGGGAAACCTTATTCCCAGCTGGGAAAAAAAACCTCATACATACTGTTTTATTTTACACTGCCTCCCAGAGGTCCAAACCATTCTGCTTGAAGTGACGTGGGCAAAGTCCCAGAGTGGAAAGACAGACAAACTTGGCAATGTGCTTTCTTCTCCCCAACCTGGGCTTCCCGGACATCAAGTATTCTGTAATTCCGAATCTGTCCCCCAGAACCATTATGAAACCACAAACTGAACCATTATGAAACCACAAACTGAACCATTATGACACCACAAATTGTAGCTGAAGAGGTTTGAACAAAGTAGGACAAAGTTTGATTTCAAAAACTTCTATGACACATTCCTTAACACAAAACTTCTGAAGTCTCATGGCAGTCCAAACTGTTTGAAACCAAGTACAGCACAATACATGACTGGCACGGCCACCCCAGCATCAACCAGGGAGCAGCAACGTAAGAGGAAGCATGCTGGCTGGCCCTACAAAGCATGCAGACCTACACCAGCACCCTAAGTTCACTTTCATCCCACACAGGGTGGCAGAAAAAGCAAGTGGTCGAGATTGCTGCAGACTTCAAGAGAAGTTACATTCCTCTTACACTTGGGTGAAACACTCCTAAGTAGAAGTGCATAAACCAGTAGAATGTATACCCATAAAAATTATTTCTGTTGTACTAATTGTGATTGACAAAACTGATCCAGCATAGTTTCTACAGAAGTGTGTCCTGTGGCTCCAGCTCCCTCCATACCCCTCCAGCACAGCTACCCCAATGCCCTACCACTATTCATGTCCTACTAACAACCCCACTGAGCAGGAGGCAAATTTCACCTGCATGTCCCCCAGCTACAATCAAAAGACACAGAACAAAGACAACTTGGTCAGGTCTACACAAATTAATCCACCACACCAAAGAGCCAATCTCTACTATTTGGCTACTCATTTCCACAAATTCGAGGAACATTTGTCAGGACTCCTATTCCACTTATTTTGATGTTAGCTAATGGGTTCAAAAGACACCTGAGTCAGGATCAGACAGCCTATGCAGCCTAATAGCATAAGCATGACTGTCTTTAATTTTGCTTCTCAGCTATATACTGGATAGAAGGCTTTAAATTGCTAACTGATGGAACAAAAAATTCTCAGTACAATATATGGAGAGACTAGCCCATGTCTACATTAAGTTAAGAAAACATAAAAACACTCACTTTCTCCCTCTGCTTTCAACTGGATTTTCACAGGAGACCCCAAAGTGGAATCGTCCTAGGTTTGTCACACAGCAACTGGTTTAGCAAGACTGCGGAATCGCAGCTATTTAGCTTCCCCTAGAGTTTTGCTTCTGATTTTGAAGCACAAAAAGTTATCATCGAGCAAAGTTCAACTGTTTCAGAAGTACCGAGAGCAGAAGCAGCCAGTCCAAGATTCGTCCATTAGCACAGCACTGCCCAGCTGAAAAAAAATCCAGCCGAATATTCTCCTGAAAAATCAACATGGATTGAGTACTTCTGATAATGAAGGATTTAGACACGTAAATGCACAGGCACCAGCAGTATGAATGGCATACTAAAAATATTAACAAAAACCAGGCCACAAAAATATTCTAAGCAGTATGATGGATTTAATAGTGTGGTCCTCATACTTGCCAATGAAACTTTACTTACTTTTAATAGTTTGCTGGCAAAAATATGCATTATGGTTACCTAAAAATATGCATATCCAGTTTTTACATGTATTTATTCTTCCAGATAGACATATTTACTCTAAACAGCAGAAAAAAAGCAAGCAGAACACTCATTTAAATGGCAGAAAACTAGTAGAAGATGCTAATATGACCTTAGTGTAGCATGTCAAGTGTCACTGCCACCAGCTTCCTAGTCATTTTAAGAAAAATCTGCTAAGACAACTAATTACCTAGCTTAAAAGATTAGGTCAACAGTGTCAAATACAAGAATATGAACTTGAAATTTAGCCTTTTAAAAATATGTGCTGTCTATTTAAATGTCTACATCAATTTATGAAAGAATAGTAAGTTCTGGACTCAATGAGTTACCTCTCAGGAGCAGCAGTGGGTTTATCTTCCCATAAAAGAAACCCGAACATCACAATCAGGAAGGCTGACAGCATCTCTTGGCTGAGAGAACAGATAGACTTGCAGCCTGCTGATCTAAGGGCTACTTTAGAGGAAAGCAGTAATTAGAAGTTGAGATTTAATATAGCACAATTTTAGAGTAGTGGCAATCCCTAAACTGGTATTTTGAAAACTACAGCTGCTTTAAACAAGTGGTGTACTCTGGATGGTTGTTGAATAGTTAAAGTTGACCCAAACACATCCTCCCTGGACACCTCTTATTATCTTTTTTGCTCGCCCAGTCAGTGCTACAGCTAAGACTCATAGGTAGGACACAGGTTAGTTACTTAGCTTTGAATTCTGGTGCTCATGCTGAAGCATGTCACCCTCCCCAGGCTCAGTTCTCAGACAGGCAAGTTCACCCCGAGTCAAGTCTCCTTGCAGGAGTTTCAGCCCATCTTCTCTTCCTCAGAGCAAGACAGGTATCTGCTACCTAACCAGCCAGCTGTCTGTTCAGCTGAGCTCACCCTTTAGCTATGTTTAAGATTTTTAAGTTGTCACGTGGAAGAGATGATTAAGTCCTTGGAAGTCTGTTAGCTTCCAAAAGTTGTAGGACTTTTACAAATCCCAGGGAAAGAATAGTCAAGTTTACACAAGTAATGCTTACAACTTGTTTCATCCTTTTGCCAGGCCAGCAGCCATTCAGACAGAAGATACCAGAGCAACAAACAGGTACCAGAGAGAAGTTCTGCCTGGCAGCACCAGGTGCCCAACTTTGGATGAGCTGTCTGACCACCAGCACTAGACAGAGGTGTGCAGAGTGAACTGCTATCTCAAGGTGCCCATGGCCCTCCAAAAGCTGAAGTGGCTGGATACAGTCACTGCCTAGCTTTTCAGCAGCTCAAGTTTAGAGACAGGCATCTCCTCACAGTGACCTGAGGTAACACAAAAGCCACAAGCTGGGTGGCCCCATAGCTCAACTCCATCAGTGGCTGATAACAGGTGTAACAGCAATATACCCAAAGCAAGGTTACCATAATGCTTTCCCAAAACATTCTCTCAGCTTCCAGCTATTCATAAGTTCATGACCTTCTAAACCAGGGGTAGAGCTGTTTAATAGCTATGCTGATGATTTTCCCTGCCTGAATTTGTCCATTAATTTAATCATCTAATCATTTACATGTTAGATGGCTGGAAACTGCTGATCATATTTTTATAAATAAATTGAGATTTCTTTGAAAACTAGAATAGGGACAAAAACAAGCAGCAAGATGCCAGTCTAGAGGACGCTATGCAATCAGAAACAGGGCCTAGAATAACTAATCCATACTTCTCACAGCTACTCACAGACTGCCCATAATTCTATTTATTTACTACTACTCTACAGACCCTTTATGCTACACATTAGTACCCAATAAAATGCATCCAGAAAAGTCTTTACGTGCTAGAATGAAAGAATATTTTCATTTTTTCCTCATGCTTAACCCTCTGCAAATGCTCAGAGCCTTAAGTGAGATTTTCACATGAATACATGTTTTAAATAACGCATACTATCTTACAGTTTGTGCAGCAAGCAGTTTAGAGTTCAATAGGCTAGGGTTTATTGGTTGGTTTGTTGGGGTTTTTTTTCTTTGTGGGTTTTTTTTTTTTAAACCCATCTCCATTTGTAAAGTTTTCCTTGGTATAGCCTGGTACATGCTACAGCACCTACCCAGTCATCTCAACAGGCACCCCCTTTGATGGTTCCACTTCCCTCCCCATTTCATGCACTCTCAAAAAATTCAGTCACAAAAAGGGAAGGACTGGTTGAGATAGCAATCCACTGGCACGTGCACGGACAAGGACAAGCAGAACATCAAAGCAGCCAATGCTTTTGTTCTCTTTAGAAGATGCACAGTAACATGGATCAGATGAAACTCACTGCTTCTATTTCAACAACCAAAAAGCAGAAGTGTTTGCACAAGACGCTGATGGGCAAGCCTGAAGCATTCTCCTTACAAAAAAACAAATTTTTTTTGCATTGCAAAAGTCAGTCCGCTATCTGCCTCCACTAAGTCTCATGTTTATGTCTCATGGCACGCTGTTCACCAACACCTCACTTAAGGGCTTCTTTACTAGGGGAAATAGGATCCACAAGGTAAGAACTGCAGGTGGTGTGTGCAGTACCAGAGAACTTACACTCAAAAGATTATTTTCTTTTCACAGAAGCAGACTGCTTGACTTTCATGCCTGAAGCTCACATATGTTTGGTTATAGATATAATGCAGCTGAGCTGTAATTTGTTTTCACTTGCTTCAGTCAAATTCATTATCTATCTACTAACATGCAAGCCGTATCATTTCTGATACAGCCAAAAAAAATTCAAAAGTCCTCGCCTAAACATAAGGACTTCAGAGTCATGGTAGGGAATGGATTTTTGGCTGAACTGGTAAGAAAACTGAGAATTACAGATCTTCCAGTATGTGGCAGATCTGTATTGAAGTTGGAAAGGCATGTTGAACATTGCTGCTAAGTCGCATCCTCAATCTCTTTATTTTTCATAAAGTGTTTCACCAAGAAGCAGTCTTAACAGTGACACAGTGCTCTATTTAAAAAAAAAAAAATAAAAAAAAAATCAAACTAGCAGTGTCAGCTTTTCAATATTGCTCAACTGCTGTAATGAAGTCCAAAATCAGGAGTATACTTACTTGTAAGCTTGTTGTGACTCAGAACCAGCTGTGTGATATGAGACAACGTAACTGCAAACAAACAGAGAAACAAGTTAGTTTATGAAGACAGCAACTGAGCGCTTGTATCTATTTCAGCTAAAGAAGAGGCAAGTTGTTCTCTCCGCTCCCCTAACTCCAGATTCATGTGCACTGTCACACCAAACAAGACAAGCTCGAAACTTAAGGACATACCCAGCCACTCCCCTGCCCCTCACATTTCTGTTACTGCACCAAACACAACTTGAGCAGCAAGTATTGGTGCCTCTCGGCAGAGCTCTGTTCTGGACACACAAACACCTTTCTTATTTGTATTTGAATCCTTCCCAAGGAAAAATTGAGAGGTACTCCAACATTTATCCCAACAGAACATACGCCACATGAGCAATTACTTTTCTGCGTGTTCCCAATTCCTTACCAAGTCACTGCCAGATTTAAGTCCTAAGCACCAATAGCTGCATGTACAACCTCGCACCCACAAAGCACAGTAGCAGACTAGCACCATTGTTGCATGGCAAATGGCCAGATGACAACATGCAATATTTACTGAAATTAATTGAATGATCTGATTGACCAAAGCCCCTCAGATTTCACCTTATTGAACAAACGAGTGTGGGGCACAGGGCAGCTACAGAGACCGGCACTGCCCCTACACTTCATCCTTTACATGCCTCCTTGCCTACATCCACCCTCCACACCACCATCACTGTCCCTAGAAGCTCCATAGCCCACAGCTGACAAAGGCATGTGCTCAGAAGAGTATGCTAAATAGTCAGAAGAGAAACTTGCACCTTGAAAGAGTTCTCAAACACCTTTCCCCTCCCTGTAAAGTTTGTTGGTTTTTATTGGA